CTCTTTCTCTCGCTCACTCTCTCTCTCAAATAAATAAATAAAAAATCTTTAAAAAAGAAATATATATATATATATATATAAAATCTTAAAAAGAAAAAAAAAAGAAGGAAGAGTGATTATTCACCTCTGGATAGGGAAGGTAGGCCACTACAGGTGTCAAAAATTGCACTAGACAAGTGGATATGGGTGGTAAACATTTTGGTAACTTGTGTCTTTTTATCATCAAAAAATGGTAACTTTAAAATATATAAAAATGAATATAACTTTTTAGCAGTTTTGGCTTTTACAAGCTCTTATTGTTCTGATTTCCACGATTGTTATCTTGTTTCAGTTATAAGTAATCAACAAATAGAGTGGGGCAGGAGCATTATTTTTAAAAGTGATTAAAAGCAAAATTCTGAAATGCTTGGGAATTCTGTTTTGTTACGCTACACTGTGCTACAATGAAATTCAAAAAAAATTGGATTTATTAGCCCAATCAAATCCTAGGTAGCTTAATGATCCTCGCACTTCTTAGAAGTTAAGACCAGGTACTTTGAGCATTTCACCACTGTTATAAATCAAAGGCAGCAGAAGGGCAGCAGGGCCTAAGCCACTGGTCTTTGCAGTCAGGCCCAATTCCAAGGCTGGAGCCTGCCCAGATCCACTGGTCACCTGGTGACCTGATTCATCTAACTCGACTGCACACATGATTAACAGCGACTGCCATGTGCCAAGCCTTTCTGGTGTTACCAGGGTGAGCAAAATTGTCATCAGACCTTGACTTTATGAGACTATTCTACTGATCTCAGGTAAATTCCCTAATCTCTCGAAACCTTCGTATCCTCATCCATTAAATATGATAATAATGGCTTATATTGTACTCACTGTGCCCTTGCTTTGTGCCAGGCATTGTTCTAAACGCTTTAATCCTCAAAACCCTAACTGGTAGGTCTACATTTGTGCGTCACAATTTGTAACGAAGAGTAAGTAAATTACTTGTCCTTTGCATAGTGCCTGACATAGTAAGAACTCACTTAGCTAAAAATTACTAGTCGTCTGTCAAATTTTTAAAAGGTGTGCATGCAGTACGTTTAACTAGGTAAAAAGTAAGTTTCGGTCAAGGTGACAGACAAAGGAGTTTTGCCACAATTCTGTGACCGGCGTGAAAGTTCCCGTGGCCTCACTCCCCGCCAACCGGAGCGCAGCAAGGCAATGGTCCGCTCGCCCCGGCCGGCCCCGAGTCGCGCCGCGCCCACCCGGGCCCCCTCGGGCCGCTCGCTCACCGCAGCAGCTCCATGCAGTAGCGGTCGGTGCCCGAGGCGCCCGATCCGCTGGCCGCGGCCACG